AAGTTTACCAAACTAATCAAAATTATACACATACTTTCAAAAACGCTTCAATTATTAGCAGGATTTTTTTTAAGTGTTTTTTTGTGCATACTTCACGCTGTTTGTGCATGATGTCCTGTTCAAGGATCCGAATCAATTTTTTTACATGCACCCTCATCACACAACCTCACATAACGTCAATGCTATGCCAAACATCAAGAGCTACAGCATTCTTTTTGCTAGAACTGGCATTAGATCGACCTTATCCATTGACCTTTTTATGTACACACTTCCAGAGAAACAAAAGGAGGATTAAAAAAATGAAATAAAAAGCAAAACTTGACTTCTTCAGAGCCAAAAAGTGACACTTGGCATGGAATGAAAATCATCAGGTTTTCCCCTACTTAATTTGCTTAAACACCAATTACAAAGTTTTACCATCAACATACTCACAACTTTATGTATGTCTCTGTGTGTTCACCCATGTGAAAGTCCTGCAAGTCTGAATACTTCCCCAAGTGGTTAGAGTACTGCATCTACTTTTTCACCTACAATGCTGTCCGTGCAGTGCTGTAATTCTGTAACAGAACACACAGTTCTCCATAGACAATAGCATCCTTTTTCGCTAACCACAGTTCCTAATTTTGCTATCCAAATATTACAATGACCTGAAGACGTCCACTTCTCATTTGAAAAACTCCCAAAGTGGTTTAGTATCATCTCTTTCTCCTACTAACCACGTAAAATTGGACAATCACAGCCCCACAAAACTGCAGGTAAACCTCACTCCATGAAGCCCTAGGTGCAAGTCCTAGATTTTCCTACGTTTTAAGGGAGGAAGCAAAGAACTATCAGCTAGTTGCATAATTCCTGCAGGAATCAAATAGTACCCATGTTTATATATGGCAAAGGACATGCAAGAAGTAGTAGGACTGCCATCTTACCAAAAAGCAATCCTTTTCAAATTCTGGAACTGCCCACTGGCACATAAAATAGATGTGTCACTTGCAGAGGTCCCATGAAATCTGGATCTCACTGTACCAGATGTTCAGAAACACATACTGATGACTACTCCACTGTAGAGTACCGTAAGTTGTAACAAACACCACATTTCAATGGGGTCTGAAATTCCTCTATAAACTTTTTTAAATTATGGAAAGAAGTATTTCTCTAGACTTCTTTTGGTTAACTCTATTTAATTTCTCTAAAATTTTCTACATAATTAATCTAAGTTACTATAAAATGTTCACATACTGCAATTCTTGGTTCTTTAACAACGATGGTAACACTGGCAGAGGTCATACAATCGTCCAACCTTCTCAGCCAAAATAAACACCGGTCCAAGATGAAGTGTGCCACTGTTACTTCATTCAGTGACAGCTAAAATCTTATATTAAGTGTAATGTGGCCAGCTGGCTTTATGTTCCAGATAATTTTAACTGCCAGCAGTAAAGAATTCTGCTAAGATGATAATAATATGCATAGTTTAAAAAACAGAATTCAATTTCAAGACCACACACATTTAGGTTACCACAAAATCACTTACTAAAAAAATCGGTTGAAAGCACCCCTTTAATGATAAGTTATGGCCCAAATAAAGAGGTAGGATCTCAAATTTAATTCTGCATAAAATGCAACACATAGCAGATCAGCTATCCCAAATTAATGTATGGTGAATTTTAGTTTTGAAATAATATTCCATCAATCAGCATGGACTGGACTATTAATATCAAGTTAATATAAGTAAAAATCTAACTTAAGAGAAAAATATTATTTTAAACAAAAAAATTGTATTATGATGAAAAATAATGCTTCTGAGCTCTTTTTCAATTCAATGCTATACACGGGTAGTTTCAGTATTAAAAGTAAAGTTTTTAGAGCATATTCATTCTCAATTTTAACTTACCAAAATTTTGAAAAAAGTTAAAGTTCTAATTTCACAACAGAAACACTTATTACATGTGTCATTTTGGAGACCTATGCAGTTGCTTTTACTACCTGTATAGAATTTTGCACGTATGTTTGGTGCTAAATAGAGCTCTTTGCTATAATCTGTTTTACACTAAAATTCTCTGTTCTGTATAAAAAAAAAAAAGCAGGCAGAACAAAGAACAGAAGGAAACAATGTGTTGTTTATTCTTACTATGAAAAGAAAAAAGGGAAAAAAGAACAACCGAGTATTACCAATACCATTGCATTATGTTAAATATAGGAGTACATTTTGTCCTATTTGCAACATGGAGATAGACTTCATTGTTTCAAAATAACATGGCCAAATCAAGAAAAACTGGTCCAAAACTGAGTAGCAATTTCAAGTTCAACATTTACCAGGGACATTGTCCAAGGTAGTGAAGACCATGTGTCCCAAGTGAAGGGTGCCCCTTTTGCCGTATTCCTATTTTCCACAGATCTCCCATATAATACTATAGTATTACCAAAAAATTGTTTTAAAATGTGAAAAATACATGCTGCTTCCCGTTTTTCAAAAGCATGTCAACTCTTACCATTGATTCAACTACTGTATTTCACCAGATGTAAAATTAGTTAATGTAGTCCTATTTATAGTAAAATAAAAAAGCTTATTTGCATGTCAAATCTTCAATGACTTCATTCTGTAAGGGGAACACTAACACAGATCTAGAATCCTTTTGTAGACTCTTTGCTTCATCCAAATCATACCAAACAACTCCCAAATAAAAAGCAAAGATTTCGGTGTTGAGGAGGGGACTAACTCTCTAATTGAACTTCTAGTTACTATTTCTCCTCGCTTCAGACTGGGGGGGGAAAAAAAAAAAAAAAAAAAAAGGCCTAGAACAGATTTAAGTGCACTTTTGTGAAGGCATCTGGCCCTATCTCTTTATTCATAAATTTAACAAGGGAGTCAGCCACCATTGACTGATATAGTGAACAAGAATATTCCTTGAAAAATAGGCAGCCTATATTCAAGTCTATTGCATTCGCTCTGGAAAAGGGGGGAGAAGGAAATGCACAGAGCATGCTATTGAAATGAAATCTGTTTGCTTCCTTAATCTGGAAAAACAGACTTATCCTTTCACAAGATGGAAATAAGATCAGTCAAGCCGCCACTTTTTACATGAGACTGGGAAAGAGGGCAGAAGGACTGATTTTTCCACTGATCTTTTTTAAGCAGCAGCACACCAAAAGATAAAATACAATACACACAAAGGTAAAGTTCACACACCTCATTATAAAATTTTCTTATGCACTGTTTATCTTAGCACCATTTTCCCTCCCTGAAAAACACTCATTTCTTTTAACCTTCAATCACTACCATATGTTCAATGTCTACGATTTTTTTATTGCAGCCCTCTAAGTTGTTCTCCCAGGATTTGGTGCTGCAGCTGCGGTATCACTCACATCAAACGTAGCAAAATAATTATCTTCCATGATTACAGATCCTGTATGTCCTGTAATATTTACCTTTTTGGAATGACATCACATTGCAATACACTGCAAACAAATGAGTCAGCAACCCCCAGGTCTTTTCTGCAGGGATGATACCTAGCCACTTATTGTTTGTTTAACTATAGGCTAGTATTTATTTATTCCTTCCCAAGTGTAGTTCTTTGCATCTGTTGACGTTTTTCATTCCAAAATTATTATGATGAGCACATCTACTAATACTCTCTTTTTAATTCCTTTCAGCCCTACCCATCATCATTTGACAAAGCTGCAACAGCTCCCACTGTTTATTTTATTAACAGGTTTAAGGTGCACTCTGAATTCAACCAATGAAAGCAAATACACTTAGTAAAGTAGAAACAACTTGGAGGAGATGATTGGTAGGCAAAAACAAGATATCCTCATGAAAAACAAACATGTATATTTCCTATAATGTAAAGAAAATGTGGGTGACACTGCACTCTTCAGAGCAAGGAATGACTATTGTTAAAAATGAAAACTTCCCTTGTATCCTCTATTGTATTAATGTTACTAGAATAAAAATAAGCACTCTTCATCAGGATGTGTAACTTGAGTCTTCATTGTGAGCACACACTAAGAATTTACTCAAAGTCTTAACATGAAAGGTCTACCATTTATAAAACATTTAGGGAGCATAAACTTAAAAGCAGACTCTTGAGATTGCAACTTGAGGGTTTGGGGCAGATATTTTAAACCCATGTAACAAAAGAGTGCCTTAAAGCAGGTAGGCTGGCAACAGTTTCTTTGGTAGAAGGGGTGGGAAGGGGGACCTACAAATGCACTATTGGAGAATAGCAAGAAATTCAGACAAGCCAAAAATAACAAAGGATGAAAGAAACGTGAAAGTGAGTTCTATGAAATTCTGCCATACTATTTAAGCTTAAAATTCTACTATTTTTGTCATCTGGAAGACAGACTTAAATCAGTGTATGAGTTCTACTTCTTAAACCTTGGTAAACATGCTTTTAAAGAAACATGCCTTCTTGCTTACTTTTCATGTGTTTAATATGGACAAAGCGTTCTTCCATCACAAGGCAAGCAATAGAAACTTGAAAACAAAGTTAAGGCTATAGCCATACAGAAACACACTGCTGAGTGTGGGGAGCTGTGCCTTCTTTCACATTTATTCACCAGACTTACTCAAGTTTTTGTCTTTGTAGTTATATTTAAATGCTTCAGGGCCCTTGTTCTAATCTGAAAGGTTTTGCCGCGAGCAGCTTGAAAGAGATGTTCCTCCAGCACTGCAGCACCGCTGTGAAGTCTGGGAGCTGTGGCCAACCTACTCAGCTTGAAAGAGATGTTCCTCCAGCACCACTGTGAAGTCTGGGAGCTGTGGCCAATCCTCTTTTAAGCATGTGCACACACTGATTTTAACATTGGCACAGAAAAGCCTGTATACACCAAACTTTAAGCTGAACCAGAACTAAAGACCGCCTTTTGCTCAGCTAGGGGATCAAAGCAGTCAAACATAAAGTAGGAAACACAGAGAACTGTTAACACGTCAGACTTGATTGCCTATTCTAAAGCAAATTAAGCATCCAGAAGTTCTAGCAAAACAGCAGATTTTTCTCTCTTACCTCTCTGACTTCATGGAGTTGACCAGAACGCTGGCTCTTTGCTCTTCGAGCAGCTGCAGGTGATTTGTGATGTGTGATGGTTACAACAGTTGGCCCACTTTGATTCATATGTTTCTGGCCACTAGGAGATGCAGAATTAACTGTCCCAGGCGGCAGCAGAGATGAGCTTCTACTTCGTGAGGATGAAATGCTCTAGAACAAGCAATGGGGTGTTGACATTAGCGACCTTTACACAAGTAAATAATTTACAGTTCAGGCTAAAGATTTGTGCTTCTACTTTCCTCACAAACCTAAATCTGGAGGCGTAACTGTGCCCAGGACTGACTTATTCCTTCTGAACCATCTGCACTGCTCAGCAGGGATCTTCTTGGAAACGTTGCAGCTACCGCCTTTGTTTCTTGGATTGCCTGAAACTGGCCTTCACAAAAATCTTCACAAACTCTTACATACTAACATGCTGCTAAGTTCTTACAACCATACTTTTTAGGAAAGATTAGGAAGGATTTTGCAGACAGAGTAATAACAATGCCAACACAAATATTTTTTACGAAGCCATTGACCTATAATTCACCAAACTGACGTGAACAGCAAGGAAGAAAAAAAAACTCTTAATGCTTTCAGCTAATGAAATTCTGCCACAGCATAGTGCTGTTTTCAGCATTACAGGAGCTGCAATTTTGGCAAGGCCAATCCACACACCATTTAGACATTAACATTTAAAACAAAACATGGCTTAAAGAGTCAACACGTTTTGGAATAAAATTGGGATAAACCCTAAATACAAAAAAGGCCAGAAATAAGTCTCCCACAGTATCTGCAGTGTGAATACTCTTAACATACAACCTATAAAATCAGACTACACATTCAAGAACTTTCTCTGTTCTTATCTAACCATTTGTCAGTGTTGCCATCTTGGTTTGTTTTCTGCAGCCCCCAAACCTGAGTTTTCCCGGAGGTCTTCAGGACAGCTAATCCTCAATCAAGCTCAGGTGTGCACTAGAACACCATGGGACATCATGTATAAAAGTGCAATACAAAACAGCTTTTCCCTTCTATTTGAACTGTTGATTGCATCTGTAAGGTTAAAACTGAAACAGAATAACTCTTACCTCATGAAACACAAACTACTTCAGGAAGTGACATTTAGCAGCACTTCACGAGAGCGAGGTAAACATACAGCCCTATACAAACCCTGTACAAGTAGCCATGGCAGCCTTCAACGTTGCTAAGACAGTTCCATGGGCTACTACTCTGGAGTCTGCCGGCAAGCGTACAAAAATATAACTTGGGTACAATCTCTTTCCTTACCCCTTACAGATCAAACTTTGCAATTCTGTGGTAATTTCATTAAAAGACCTTAAATACGAGGTGGACAGGCTCCAACTAGCACTGGCATTAAAGTCAGGCATTATGTTACCACTACACTGATGGTAAATGACAAGGCAGATTATCTGTCTCTGCCAAGAAGGAAGAGTGAAATGAGTTACGTGATCCCTCTGCCACACCCCAACAAAACTAGACTTCAGACTTTTTGAAGCATTTGAATGTTTAAAAAAATTGGTTATCACATTCCCAGCCTGCAAAGAGCTGCTACACCCAATAGAAATAAGCATTATTCCATTGGTCTGGACTTATGTTTACAAATACTTCCAAGAATGATTGTTTGACCCTGTTTTTGAAACAAATATATTCTTTAATACCATGACTAATAAGATGGTAATAATAAGCAGCTGTAGAACCAGACATTCAAAAACTATCCATCCTGGCTGATAATTCCCAATTGCATTAAAACTGGATTTGACTCTAAGGCAAAAAAAAGCACGGGAGGGTAGAATTTGTCAGAAGGGCACAGAAGGTTGCTAGGTTTCTAATCCATCTTCCTTTTGAAAGAGCACTGCTTAGTCAGAACTACAATTAAAGAAAGCCAGAGAAAAAGGTATTTGGGAGAAGGAAGGGGATGAGGGACACTGGGTGTGACTGAATTTCCTTTTTTAAGTAGAAGTTTCACAGTAAAAGGCTACCCCTAGTATGTAATAGCAGAATATTCCTGTTTTTTCTTGTTCTTATTCCTGTTGTTTCTTTTTTAAACTGACTAGCATCAGAATACCTCTAAACTAAATATAGGACGCCGAGGAAGAAGAATATTATTTTTTTAGCATAAAATCAATTTACCTTCCAGTTTGATGGAAGTTACTTTGCTTTTAGAATGAAATCTTCTGAGAATCACTGACATTCTAATATCATGTGATCACGAAATTAAAAATACACAACTGCTACCTTCATAGCTAAACTGATCCTAAAACTCAGATAAACTGCAGCAATGTAAAACAGTTTAGCCATTAGTTTTGCTTGAAAGAAAACAACATTCTGTGAGAAGTAAAGTTTTATTATGTTTTGATTTTCGGGGCAGGGTTGGGTGTTAAAGATCTGCAAATAACAAAAGTAACATAAAACAAATATGGAAAAATCCATGCACTGTTTCTGTTTAAATACAGAAACAGCAAGGAATTCTAGGAGAGAGTTAGCTTTCAGAAAAAAACAGCTGCCAAAATAATCTTATTTAACCTGCGCACATTGAGAGATACGTTCATAAATTGAAATGTGTTTATATTCTAAGTTAATATCTGTATCATTGATAGTATTTGGCAGTTCAGTGCTGTTTTTCAAACTGCAGTAAACTATCTGCAGCTGACTCATGGATCACGATAGACACCTTGACTGCAGCTCACACCTCACGTTATCTCTCATCATGTCACCCAACATGATACATCTCTCATCAAACTCCATTTACTTGGAAGTCATGTATTTGATAGTGAACTATTAGTACAAAAACTGCTGGCTAGCTGTGATTTTTTTTAACAGGCTTTTATCACAAATAAGTATCGAACACATTTGCAAGAAACAGGTATGCCCATCATTTTACGAGTCTCTTAATCCTATTTTTTTTCCCTGCAAGATTTGCTCTAGTTCACATTACAGCTCACTGGGCAACATCTGAGTCAGAATAAACTGCAGGACCACAGTGCGTTTAAGATGGCTTTTCATGAAGTTCTGCAAAGGTATGTGGCAGCTCACAGCAACTAGTGGTGGACAGTCATTCAGAGCGTGGAGTTTGGGAATCGGTGGAGCAGGAGAGAAAAATAAGGAAGAAAAACCCATGCATCGTTTCAGTAGCAGGTAGCGCTCAACAAGGCTGTTCTGCTACAGGGACGCTAGGTAAGCTCAAATCTCTATGTACGCAAGTCCACAGCCTAGCAAGGGCTGATGGTGTCACACTGCCTGGTGTGCCAGAGATCCAACTGCATGCCTTGCCCTACAATAGTGCTATATGATCTCTAGGGAGTGATCACTTCTGCCGGTGAGCCTCTCCTAGAGTCCTCTCCTTGCCCTCTTAGCACAAATTATCAATCCCATGCAGCTCACCGAGTCAGGAAGATTGGCCATCTTGAATTAGCACATACAGCCACAGTCTGTGTCAAATATCAGAGCCAAATACATTGGTTTGAATGGCTTCTACATTTCTATAAGCAAGTTTTCCTCACCTCTTCGTTTTCTTCATTTTATAAAGATACCCTTCATCCACCTAGTGACCCAACGTTTCCAACCAACGTCCCAGAAAACTCCACCAGCTCACAACACAAATCCTCTAGCATCTAATTTGGGATGATTCTTTAGAGGATGTCTATAACATACAAACTCTAAATGAGCTCTGCACCAGGACCTCTGTCTACCCATGAAGCAACCCCTAAGCAAGACCCCACATGACAAATGTAAAAAATTCCAACTTACAACTTGCAAAAGCAGTCACACACAAAGTGCAGGTCAACGTCTGCAGGAGGCAGTTTCTACTACCACTCAAAACCTTTTGAAGTGAGGGTCCACTCCTGAATGCCACAGAGAACAGCAGCAGAGAGCTGTGCCTGCTCCAAGGAGACAGGGGCGGCAGCTAATTCCTTCTCACAGCTTCTTCCTGCCACTGCCAGAAGACGCCTCTGCAGGAACTACACACTCAGCTCCTTAGGCACTGTTGAATTTTACAACACACTGTCAACACCTATGTCCCAGCCAAATACTTGACTCCTCTTTTGCAGAACTTTTTCCGATTAAACACTGGGAATGACAAGCATCTCTTTCACATTGATATACAGCTGTGCAAAAATCAAAATTTTCCATTTTTGTTAAAGTGTTAAAACCTATGTGATGTTTTCCACAGCTAAAAACACATTAATTACACATCATACTACAACAGTCATTAAAATCACTCTCCCAGGAAATCAAAGCAGTGACAGTAACTGATGGATCTTCATTCCTAATCCCCCGCTCTTTCACCTAGCGCCGTCGGTATGACTGATCTGCCCCTCTAACTATTATCATATCCCATTTTCATTGGTCTGTCTGCTTTCTGGTTTGCAAATAAACAAATAAAACAACAGTTAAAAGTCTGACGAAAGGAAGACATAAGCTCTTCAACAATTAGCAATGCATGGTGCCAGTAACGAGCCAAAAAAATCCACAGGCCAAAGCAACCCAAAAGGATTACAAGTATTCTTTCCTGAGGCTACACTTTACCATTGCTCCAACAGTTTGCCTGCTAATAAAATCAAACTAATAAAAGAATAATAAAGAAGCTAATAAAAGATTAATTTGTAACTTGTGTTCATCTTGGGTTTATGACCTAAAGCTAGCTAACGTATGCTTAGCTAACATAGATTTGGGTTAAGATTTTTATTTTAGTAGACTGTCCATCTCCAAGATAAAAAAGCAGTATAATGAATGCTTCCATTTGGATATCAAAAATCGTAACAATTAAAATAATGTAATTGTAGAACAGTAAGTTCCAACTATACTAATGTTTTCATGACTCATTCTCCCTGGAGATGGTCCTTCCTGCTCAGAAAGAAGCTGAAGTGTTTCTCACCATTTACCAGAAGCAAAGAGTTTTGTTTATTTTGGAAAGCAAATGCAACGTTCCAGAGATCAATAAAATAATTTCTGAAGTGAATTGTCATATCTGTTTATGGCTGATAATCATCATTTTCACAGGCACTGTGCCAAAGATGTTTTCTACAGAATAATAAATGCTGAAATGACGTTCCTTTACTCCTCTGCACGTGTAGCCCAGAACCAATCCCTGCATGCAGCTCTGGAGCAAGTAGAAGTCACATGCTATCAGAAAGCAATTATGATTTTGA